GGGGGGGGGTCTGACCCTAGGGACTGGTTTCGCCCTCTCAACAGTGGCAGTCCGCGGAAGTGACGTCAGTCCGGAAGTGACGCGTTGAGAGAGGCGGCCCAGCGAGTGTTCTAGAAGCTGGGCCTTGGCCTGGGATTGGGACAAGGAGAGCGGGGAAACGATGGTGGATTATAGCGTGTGGGACCACATCGAGGTGTCGGATGATGAGGACGATACCCACCCGAACATCGACACGGCCAGCCTGTTCCGCTGGCGGCACCAGGTAAACCCCGGGGCCGGGAACCCGCATTCCACCTCCCCCCGCACAAACCGGGGCCGGCTTCCTTCTCTCCCCTCCCCACCACCTCCTTAAACCCCGCTACCTGATACCCCTTCAAATACCCCCGGATTGGCCTTCCTTCTCCCCCACTTCAGTAAACTTCGTCCCCCTCTGTCTGACCTCTCAACAGCCTTTTCCTGCCCCCGGGACACGACCCCCCCCCCCCCCCCCCCGCGACACTAACCTCCCCTCCCCACACTCCTCTCATTACCTGAAACTCCTGACCCCTCCAATCTCTCCTCGACCTGCTCCATTTAGATTTCTACAAGACCTTTGACAGGGTGTTGCACAGGTCTCTAAGTAAGATCTCATGGCGTTAGGGCACGGATAGGGGATTGGTTCTCAGGTAGACTGTGGGGATAAAGGGGCCTTTTTCAGGATGACAGCCACTGACTAGTGGACTTCCTCACAGGTCAGTGTTGGGACCGCAACTATTCATGTCATACATTAACGAAGAAACTGATGGCATATTTGGTCTTTTTTTTTGTTTATTCATTCTTGGGATGAGGTGGGACAGTATTTATTGCCCATCCCTAATTGTCCAGAGAGCAGTTAAGAGTCAACAACATGACTGTGGGTCTCGAGCCACATATAGGTCAGACTGGATAAGGATGCCAGTTTCTTTCCCAGAAGGACATCACTGAACCAGATGGTTTTTTTTTGACACTTGATAATAGTTTCATGATCTTCATTAGACTCTTAATTCCAGATTTTTATTGAATTCAAATTCCACCATCTGCTGTGACAGGATTTAAACCTGGGTCTCCAAGACATTACTTGCGTCTCTGCATTAACAGTTCAGTGATAATACCACATGGCCATAGTCTACGCTTTTGCACATGATATTAAGATCGATGGAGGCAGGTAGTGTTGAGGAGGTGCTGAATCTACAGAAGGGCCTGGACCGGCTGGATGAGTGGGCACCAAAGTAGCTGGTGAAATGCAGCACAGAAGGAAGAATAGAGAATCGACTGTGACTTACTTACTCTGCCTTTTTCACATCAGTTGGAAGACTTTAATAGTTAATCATCTGATGTCACAATTTCCTACCTAGAATGATTGAAATTGTGGTTTTGGGTTGCTAGCACAGTATTTTCTAAATGGCCAAAGGCTTCGGAAATCTGAAGCACAAAGGGACTTGGGCATCCTGGTTTAGGATTCTGTTAAGGTTGACATGCAGGCTCATTTTGCATTAGGAAGACACATATTTGCTTTCATTTCAAATGAACTGGAATACCAGGGTGCAGATGTACTGCTGTGGTTGTATAAGGTTCTGGCAAGACCACATCTGGAGTATTGTGAGCAATTCTGGGCTTTGTATCCATGGAAGGATGTATTGTCTCGGGAGGGGGGTCCAGAGGTGACTAACAGGAGTGATCCCAGGGCTGATGGGCTTGTCATATGAGCAGTGGTTGAGGAGTCTGAGTCTGCACTACATGGATTTTAGAAGGATGAAGGGGGATTCTCATTGAAACTTAGAGAATATTAAGAGGCCTGGATGGAGTGGGCATAGATAAGATGTTACCACGTAGCAAAGGTGAGGACCTGAGGCTCAAACTCAGAATGAAGGGATAACCCTTTAGAACTGAGACTGGGAGGAATTTCTTCAGCCAGAGGGTGGTGAATCTGTGGAACTCATTGCTGCTGAAAGCTGTTGAGACCTCGTCATTCATTCTCTTTGATCAAGAATCTACCTGTCTTAGTGAGGGGATCGGGGAGAAGGCAAGACAATGGTGTTGAGTCATTATCAGCCAGGACTGAGTGGTGGAGCAGACACAATGGGCTGAATGGCCTAGTTCTGTTTCAATATCTTGTGCTGTAAGGAATTCTTTATTTATTGTCATTCTCTATTCCCATGAAAAAGTTACCACCTTCTAGCATTGCTTGTGGAAGATAGTTCTGAACCCTGAAATATAACACTCGAATTGTATTGGTCAGCATGACTATTTCTTACTCTGTCTGCCTTTTAACATCAATTGGGACCATTTTAATAGTTAATTTTCTGGTGTCACAGTTTTTTAGAATGATGAGAATTGTGGTTTTGGGTTGCTAGTACAATATTGTAACTTTGTTAGCAGCATACTTTATTTTGTACTTTTGTATTCTTTCCTCCACGATGTATCTTGAGCAGAAGTCCCTCAGTCTGCTTCAAAGTGAAGCTATAGATAAGTATGTGGGAATGGTTTGTTTTCTTGATGTCTAGTCTTGTGTACATTTGTTCCAGTTGGGGATGCTTGGGTTTTTTCAGTCTGGTGAGTCTGAGCGAATAGCTGGTTGAACAAAAGCTTCAGATATGTTAAGGTTGTTGAACACGTTCATGTCACGCCAGAACTGAGGAACTGATCTGATGTGATGAAGCTGAAAAACAATGACCTTGATAGACTACAAGGACCATGTTGAACAATCGAATCACAGACTTCAGAAAGGAAGTCTGCTCCTTGTTGGCCCACTAATGAAAAGGCTAGTTTCCTGACAAAACGGGTGCCAATCCTCTCAACCTTTGGGGAGAGGAGGCTGGAGAGTCTTGAATCTGGGATTTTGACCATTGTACAGCAATATTCATTGGCAAGGTGGCCATGTCACTGAACTAATAATCTAGAACCCTAAGGTAATATTCTGGGGGCATGGTAGATGGTGAAGTTTTGAACTTTGGAATTAGAAAGTTAAACTAATAGTAACCATTACACTGTCAATTGTTGTAAAAACCTCTCTAACTCGTCCTTTTAGAAGAGAAACACCACTGTGTGACTCCAGACCCACAGACATGTAACTGACTAGCAGCACCTGCATCGCACAAACTAACAAAACAAAAAATCCTCCTTTTTAAAAAAGGAAAGAACTGCAGATGTTAGAAATCAGAAACAAAAACACATAGCTGGAAAAGTCAGCAGGTCTGTCAGCATCTGTGGAGAGAAATCAAAGTTAACATTACATCCAGTGACACTCCTTAAGAACAAAAAAAGTCCTTTACTGCTGGAGCTGACTTTCTCTAATCTTCATACTTTATAATAACTGATGACTGAATGGACAACTGTTGTATCCCATCAACACTTTCAGAAGAGCCAGAGACAGGATTCTGATGAAAACATAGCTGAAAGAAAAGCTGCTTTGTTACAGCCATGTCCAACTCTATGATTCATGAGAATAATTCAGTATTGTGTCTAAGGGACAATGGAGGAAAGAATTGTTGTCATCAACTGTTTCCTGATTAGAGTATGGCATTTCCCCGGCATTTCTTCATGTGAATGGACTGAATATCAAATCAGAGTTTTCGGCACATAGGGCAGGATGTCCCACAAGCCAGTGGGTTCTGGATTGTGGAATTTGCTTTTCTCTTCCCTGCTGCTGCTCTGCTTTTAATTCCGATGTTGTATCGGTTTGCTCTGAACTGTGTTCAAGCACTTGTATGACAATTATAAAGCAAGCAACATAAGTGACTGTGATTTTTTTTCTGATAATTTGCCTAGGTGAGATCGTGACATAATTGTAATGTCACTAAACTAATAGTTCAGAGGCCTAGGCAAATGCTGTGGAGACATCAGTGCAAATCCTATCATGGCAGTTGGTGGCACTTCACATCAATTTAGAAAATTTGGTATTTGAAAAACAACTAGTCTCAGTTAAAGTGACCATGAAGACTTCTTTGTAGAGCAGGCTGAAGGGGCTGAATTGCCTAGTCCTACTCAGAATTCATAAGTTCTTTGACAGTGGAAAAACAGCCAGTTTTTGACAACAGTTCATACTTTAAGAAAGTAACATTTTCTGTGGAAATGTCATTTTGTAAGCTAGGGTTGAAGTGTCCATGTATTTATTTTTATCAACTTGTTTAGGTTTGATATTTGTTCAGGCGTGATGACTTTTTCAGAGAGAAAATCCCATGATACAGAGAAGCACTTGAGTCCTACATAGGAGTTTTGTTTTATATAGTTAGTTAGCTCAGTGGATTTGTCAATCATGCAATGTCATGCTGAACCATTCAGATAATTATTTGGGATTATTTGGTCTCCAGCTGTTAATTTATCCATATCATTGAGCAGTGAAGGCTTTGCTGTTATGTGTTGTATCAACCGGATAGATAATCTCGGAATAAGTTCATGCCTGCATCCCAGCACTAGACTGAATTCAAAGCCTTAGGCCATTTCAAAACTTTGAGAGATGATTCCTTGACTTTAAAATTGAAAAACAATCTGTACAGAGATGAAGATGGTATCTGTGCAGTCAAGAGGATGTCTGTGCAGTTGAGAGCTTGTCAGAATTATTGCATAGTTCCTCCAAACTGTCAGCTTCTCTGCTGTTACGTTTATCCTATATGTATTTGCATATTGTAGTTACAGAATTGTTTATAAGGCGAGGAAGCCTCTTGCTGCTGTCTTCCCAATGCTCTTGAGTAACATGACTTTCACTATACGCTTGGCTACAGAACGATGAGTGAATTTGAGCCCTGAAGGGGTTGTCTCAGCTCGGCTTGAAGCAGGAAAACTGTTTTAAGTTGAACTGTTTGTTATTGTAGCATAATACTCTTAATCATTTGTGCCGAACACATAGCAGATAAACTGAAGCTGCGACTCTGATTTTAGTGAAATTGTTGTTGAGGTGTGAACTTCTGTGTCCACCCACCCTATGGAACACATTTTGTGTTTTCTCTTCCAAATGCGTTCTGTATGGTGCTGTATTCTGTATGGAATATTTGGAGCTCTGTACAAACTGTGTAAAGAGCCTGGTTGTTTCTGTGTATATTACTTCTGTAATAGATGAATAGAGATGTGCGAGTGTTTTTGTGCAGGCCAACTTAGCATTTAATTTGCTCAGAGCAGGTTTCCCATAATAACCATTGAATTACATGGAGGTTGAACTTCTCTGGCATGTAGGTTGACCGTTCTTGCCTTCTGTTCCAGTTCTGGTGTGGGAGTATGAATATTCACCTGAACAGCCGGGCTATCTTGCCTGATTTTAATGTGCACATCTCAGGAAACCCATCATTGCTCCGAGACTGTACTGAGTTGAGAATGTGTTGATGCATTCTGGAATAATGATTGGACCCTTAACTTCTGTTTTCGGTGGAACCCAAGTATCTGCTTGTTCCCTGTCATGTTACTCATTTACAAAAGAAAAACAGCATTTCTGGACTTTCGGATGTTGGCGGAGCCTGAGACACATAAATACCCTTTTAATGACTAAATGACCCAAGAATATGACAGTGTAATGTCTCTGTCCATGATTTCAGGCTGTGTTTGTAGCAGCGATTCCATATTGTATCACGCGCAGCTGTGCCATGAGTTCAAGTAATTAATCATCACAATGATACTATATTTTCATAAATATCCACATACTTTATATGTCACAAAACTGCATAATATCTTTTTGCTGATGATTTTGGTTTTGAAATTTCTCTTAAAATTACTTAAAGAAGCAGTACTTGTTTGTTGCAGGCTCGTATCGAGCGGATGGAGGAAGCACAGAGAGAAAGAGAGGAGTATGAGAAGGCATGTGGGGATTGTAAGCGTAAGCTCAATGAGTGCCAGAAGAAGCTGAAAGATTTGCAGCTGCTGGAAACAGATGATGCAAAGAAAGAGATTGAAAAGTTACAAGCTGAGCTCAAACAGCTGAAAAAGGAAGAGAAGGAATGGGATAAAAAAGGGATTTCGCTGATGAAGAAAGAAAAGGCAATGCCTTGGAATGTAGATACGCTGAGTAAAGAGGGATTCAGCAAGGTTAGTTGCTGTGTTGAAATCTAAAACTATAAGAAATAGGAGTAGGCTGTTTGGCCTCTCAAGCCACCTCCACCATTTAACAGGATCATGGCTGATCTGTTCACTTTCCTGTCCTTTTCCTGTATCCTTTGAATTCCAAACTGATCAAGAATGTATCTAATATGCACGAGGACTCTGCCCCTACAGCTCTTTCTGGCAGAGAATTCTGAAGTGTCTCAAACCTCAATTCCTCACTTTTATTCTTAAATTGGTGCCCATTTATTCTTAGATGGTCCTCAACCTCCCCGTAAGACACAACATCTTCAGTGTTTACCCTGTCAAGCCCATTAAGGATCTGATATGTTTCAGTGAGATTGGTGGGAGGGTAGAATTAGAACATTGAGCTCATTGTTCAACACAGCAATCACCGTGAATGGCTGAGCAGGCTGGAGGGATTGAATGACCTATTCCTATCTTCTATGTTTACATAAGATCACCTCTCATTCTTCTTAACTGAAATGAGTAGAGTCCCAACCTGCTTAACCTTTGCTCACAAGACAATCACTCCAAAGTGGACATCATTCAAGTCAACCTCCAATGAAATGGTACCTTTCCTTAAATAAGGGGATTAAAACTACTCACTATCTCAAATGTGGTCTCAACTTGTAAAGTTGCAGTCAGATTAATTGTCTAATCAACCTGCTCAGAGATTTCATCCCTAGAGTAGATCAGTCTTGAACCTGGTCTTTCTGCTGAGAGTTAAGGCACTATGATTGTGCAACAGAAGCCAATTGCATGTAAAGCCTCCGTATTCTTATACTCCAACCCCCTTGAAATAAGGGCCAGCGTTCCTTTTTTCTTCCTGATTTACCAGCTGCGCCTGTGTGCTGGCTTTGTGTTTCATGCACAAGTACCCCTCAAGTCCCTTTGTGTTGTAGCTTTCTGCAGTTTTTCTTCTCAAGCAATATTTTTTCTTTGGTTGTCCCTTTCATGATGAATAACTTCATATTTTCCCCCATTATATTCCGTGAGGATAACTTTTTGGCTTTGTACTTAACCAATCAATATCTCTCTTTTAAACTGTTGGTATTCATCTCGTAGCTTGTCTTTCCACAAATTTTTGACCTCTGCATATTTGGCTACAGTACATTTGCTTCCTTCTTCCAGGTCTTTAATATATTGTCAGCAGTTGTGGTCCCTATTGAACCCCACTGGTTACAGGTTGTTACCCTGAAAAAGAACCCCTTTCCTACACACTGTTTCCTGATCATCAGCCATCTATTCAAGCAGTATACTACCTCCAACACTTTTGTCTTAAGACTTCATCTTTTGATATATACCTTGTTTAATGCCTTCTGAAAGTCCAAATAGAGCATGTCTAATGCTTCCCCTCTGTCAACTTGGATTGAGAGTTCCTCAAAAAAAGCTCTCATACATTAGTCAGAAACAGCTTCCCTTTCATGAAGCTACGCTGACTTTGCTTGATTAGATTATGATTTTCCGAATGTTCTGTGCAATAATTGATTCCAGTAGTTTTCCAACAATGAAGCCAATCATCTTAGTTACCTGCTTTGTGCCTCCCTCCCTTTTTGAATAGAGGTGTCACAAAGCAGTTTTTCAAACCTCTGATACTTATCTAGGGTCCAATGATTTTTGGAACATTATGACCAATCTCTGTCGCAACATCTTTTTAGATCCTGGAATGCAAACCATCAGGGCCAGGGGACATATCTGCCTTAGGCCCCTTTAGTTGGTTTAATTGTACTTTTCCAGTGATGGTACTTAATTCCTACCCTGTATGTTCTGTTTTGTTACTTCATAAAACATTTGTTAATGTATGTCAGCACTCATTGTGAATTGGTTACTGGGAGAAGAAACCACTGTTGTGATGTTGCAAACACAACTATTTTGAATCAAGTTCTGAAAAACATCAATGTGCGTTTGTGATGGTTGAGGAGTAAATATTTGGACAGGAAAGGAGGGAGAACTCCCCTGGTGTCCTTTTTTGATTAAGACTGTGGGATCGAGGGCAGACCGAGCCACCTCGTTTTTGTTTTTTTGTTGTGAATATAGCTGTCTGCTGATCCTCAATGTACTACTGTTATAGGCAAAGTCTTTCTAATGTTGGTTTGCTAACTCAGATTGACAGACAAAAGTTGGACATGGTGTGAACACTGATTTTTGTCTTGTTTCTATGCTTCAGAGTGTTATTAATATAACTCCAGAATCGAGCAAAGTTGAAACAGAGGAAGATAAAGAAAAAAAACACAAAACATTTGTTGAAAAATATGAGAAACAGATCAAGCACTTTGGTAAGTGGAAATAGAGTGGCCAGTATAATAACCGAGTTGGGTTTCCAGAAGCTGGCTGGTGTACTGTAGTCCATGTGATATAACAAACATTCTGTGCATGCGATGGGAAATCAGATTCATAAATTCAGTTCCAGCTTTGTGTCTTGTTGGATACCTATTCTCTAATGGAGTCAAGACAGGTTGTTATTGAATCTGTCCTGAATAAGATATATCCAGCAACTAGTGGATTGTTTATGCTGTTCAGAATGTATTTGTTTTTTGCAAATTTCTTTCCTCATTTGTTCTATCTCTCTTTGTATAGCAGTGTTCTGTTCTGGGTTTGGTACATGGCACCATTTAGTGAATTCAACGCAGTCAGCTAAACATCTTACTTTTATCAATGATCAGCGTGATTGCTATTCTGCGCTATTGATGTTTCCAATATGAAAGTCAGCTCATGCATTTTCCACTCTTGTTTATTCATTACTCATTGCCTTTCCACAGATTCCAAATTCATTTTGGCTTTTCTGTTCTTTGCATTGCATATTCAAATGCCACAAACTTCTCATTAAGTTAATGCATGCACAGAGACAGTAAGATAACAAAACCATTAAGTCTGGGTGGTGGTACTAAATTGTGATTCTTTGTCAGACCGTTTGTGCATGTTTGTGGAAGTTCAGATGAAGACCAGATCAGCTTAACGGCGATGGCTCACGGCAGCTGCTTATGTGAATTGTGACAAGTTAGCTAAGGTGTTGCAGGGACTTGCGGAACTGAATGTTGGCCAGGATCCAAGGAGGTGAAAATAAATTAACTACTTGTTTGTCTGTTCACAGGCATGTTAAGTCGCTGGGATGACAGCCAGAAATACCTATCTGATAATCCCCATCTTGTGTGTGAAGAGACTGCGAACTACCTTGTCATCTGGTGCATTGATTTAGAAGTTGAAGAGGTATGTTGAGTTACGCTGTTTTGACTTCTTCATTCATTAGTTAAGTGCCAAGCGAAGGAAGGTCACTTTGGCAGTTGGGAATTTAAATTTAGTTAGTTTTTATTCTGAATTTATTTAACTAATGTTAGTAATGGCAAGCATCTGACTACCAGATGATAGACACATCTGGTTCGTGAATGCCCTCCAGAAACTAAATCTGCCGTTACCTGATATGGCCTATATGTGACTCGAGGTCACCAAATTTGCTGTTGATTTCAAGTGCCCTCTGAAATAGCCATTCTCAAGGAGGCAGCTGACTGCCACCACTATAAGTGATTAGGGTTGGACAATAAATGCAGATCTTGCCAGGCAAATACACATTGTCCAAATGAAGCAAAGAGCAACTGGTTTGCATTGCTTTGGAAGTTCAAGTGCTCAAGCTTCAGAGAACTGAATCAATGAAGAAATCTAGATTTCAGATTAGCCAAGCTCCTACTGACATTAAAATTAGAATCAGAGAACAAGGTTATTTGGCATCAGTAAAAGCACATTGGTGTATCTGATTGCTCTGTCTGTTCCCATACCTGTCAATTTCCTTTCAAAAGCCACAATTAGTCGTGACTCCACTACATACACAGACTTTGCATTCCACATTATAGTGCTTTTAAAATACTGCAGATTTGTCTTCAGTCTGTCAACTTAAATCTGCTTTTGTTCTCAATCCTTTCAAATTGTTCTATGGGTGCAGTTTTCCAATTTCCATTTTCTGTCTGGACTGTTCTATTTTGAGCACCTCTATCAAATATTCTATCAACTCTTCCTTTTCCAAAGAGAGTGGCTCAGGTTTCACCAGTTTGTGCTCCAAGCCATTTTTGTCTTCTGCACCGATCTGTAAGGCCATCACATCCTTCCATAGTGTGGTGCGCTGAATTGCGCACAATCCACCATTTGAGATTGAAACAGTGTTAAGTCAGGGTTTATGAAAACCTCGTTTATGTATCCTCTGCTTCTATTTATCAACTCGAGCATCCTGTGCTTATTTCTCAGCTTGCCCTGCCACCTTCAACAGTTTCTGTACATATATCCCTGAACCTGTGTTCCTCCACCCCTTTTTAAATTAACTCTCCTCGTTCATACTACCACACTTCCCCTACGTTACACTTCCCCCTGCCACATATTTGCCCATTCCATCAGCTTCTCTGTGCCCTGTTTAACTCTATCATCATCCTCCTTGCAGTTCACAATCTTTCTAAGTGTTCTATCTGTTGCAGTTATTAAAATTATTCCCTGTACAGCTATGTCTTGGTCATTAAGGCAGAAAGTCTAAAACCAACTCCTGAGAAAGCATGTCAAAAACTCTTCTGTTCTGAAAGCCAACTGGTTACCACTACTTAGCAGCTTCCGCCACTCAGCCACCTTCATAACTCCATGTTACAACTATCCTTTTGTTTCATTGTCTTGACAAGGCCATTACATGGTCTTCACTACTTGGTTGGATGGATGCAGCTCCGATAACATTGGAAATGTTTGACATCATCATGGACAAAGCTGCCAGTTTGGTTGGCAGCCTATCCACCACCTTAAACATTGACTCCCACCACTGATGCACAGTGGCAGCAGTGTGTACACTCTTTAAAAAATGCACTGCAACAACTCAAGGCTCCCTTCCTCACTCAGAAGGATGAGGGTAACAAATACATGGGAACACTATAACCTGCAAGTTTCCATCTAAGCCAGTCACCATCCTGTCTTGGAAATACATTGTTGTTCCTTTACTGTTGCTGGATCAAAATCCTGGAACTCCATTCCTGACAGCATTGTGGGTGTACCTACCCACCACAGGTGACAGCACTTCGAAGATGGTAGTCCATTACAACTTGGTTGAACAATTGGGAATGGTCAGTAAATGCTGTCCAAGCCTGCAATCTCACATTTCATAAAAGTACTTTTTAAAAAAATCTTTTTCAAATGGCTTTGGGAAATCCACATGGACAACATCAACATTATCCTCTTAAACTTTTTTCACCTGATTGGAAAATCTTGGATTTGTGAAATGCAATTTGCCTGTAACATGTGTGCTGGCTTTCTTAATTAAGCCCCATTGGTCCAAGTCACAATTAAATCTTGCAGTGGATTTTATTTTTTTAGAAGCTCTCATTATGGAGGTTAAACTGTCTGATTTGTAGTTGCTGGGTTTATCCTTGTATACTTGGTTTCAACAAGGGTGTATTATTGGCAGGCCTCCGGTCCTCTGGCATCACCTTTGTACTTGAGACTTTTTAATATTATGGTCAATGTCTCTATAGTTTCCCTCAGCACTCTTGGATCTATTTTGTTTGGTCCTTATCACTTCTCTTCCACTTCTTTGGCTGGCCCATGGAGGAAATTTATTTTGGGTTCGTGGCTCGTTCTTTTAAAAAAAAAAAAAAAAATAGAGAAATAAATGTCACTTTGACTCCCCAACTTGTGAAAATGGTTCCAGAATCCAGGGGGTCCCTGATTTACGAATGTCAGACTTTAGAATGGGATCCCATATAGGGATGTAATTTTAAAGTACTTGGATATTTTATGTTGTGTTCCAATTTGCGTACAAATTGGCTTGCGACTGGACTTGAACAGATTTCATTTGCAACTGGGTACTGCCTGTCATTAGAATTGTTAGTGAGACCACCCCAAGTATTCACTTTCCTTCCTGTTTCAGCTCCATAATGGCTATTCGTCAACTTGGTGTGCGTTCATCCTTTCTAATGCCTTTTAGTTTTTACCATTCATTGTCTCCACTTTGGCCTCTTTCACAAAGAGTCGGATGCAAAGTACTCATTTGGTACTTCAGCAATTCATGTCTAAAGCTCCTTTTTGGTTCTGAATCAGTCCGATTTTTACATATCGAATGGGCTTGGGTTTATTATCCGAGCAGGAGAATCAGTTCTGCTGTCTTTATCAATAATTTGGCCCAGGAAGTTAATACTGATCTGTTAATGTGTTGCAGGTATACTTTGTGGTAATTCCTTGGTGTTGATGATTTACAGTTGTATAATTTTGAAGCACCCACTGAGGACAGACATAACATGATGTAAAATGCCTTTTTCAGCCAGTCTGGGTGTGTAGCTTGATCATTTTATCTTCTGACATTGTTATTCCACACTGCATATGGTGTTACATGTTATAGACTCTGTTCCTTTGAGTACTTGCTCATTGCAAACAATTGGTGCAGCCCTTTGAACATTAGCCCAATCTCCTTTAAATCAATGCATATTAGTTGAGACTGCTAATGAAATGAGTTTCCAACATATGTAGAAATGGACATTTCTGGTCGGGGGTTTGTTGCAGAGCAGCCAAAGAGGGATGAGGTTGCATTAGATTCGGCAGGAGGATTTATTTGTGTCGTGTTAAAATTATCTTTATGGGTTCTACTTGCAGAAGCATGCCCTGATGGAGCAGGTAGCCCACCAGACAATAGTGATGCAGTTTATCCTGGAACTAGCCAAGAGCCTTAAGGTGGATCCCAGAGCTTGTTTCCGACAGTTCTTCGCTAAAATCAAGGTACGTAAATAGCTGGAAATCTCTTTAATTTGAAACAGTTGGCATTTATCCCACATGCATAATAGGTTGATCTGAGTGAGCTACGAATTCCTATCCGATTTTGTGCCCTTAGGTGTTTATGATGTTTATCAGATATTAATTTTAGTGCTCCCTTGGATTAAGTAATTGACTTTGCAGGTTTTCTTTGTCTTTATTGGGTTTATTTCTTTTGTGTTGGCCATGAATTTTAAATTGGTAAAGTCCTTTGCAGTTAAACTTGCTCCCTGCTTTAATATAGTGATAGATTTACATTTAATTTCTATCCATGCTATTACAGCACATTCAGTCATGATGTGGGAATGCCGGTGCTGGACTGGGGTGGACCAAACCAGAAGTTTAATGACACCAGGTTGTAATCCAACAGGTTTATCTAAAATCACAAGCTTTTGGACACCTGATGAAGGTCACCTGATGAAGGAGCAGTGCTCCAAAAGCTTGTGATTTTAAATAAACCTGTTGGATTACAACCTGGTGTCAAGAGACATTTAGTGGCTTGTTTGAAAGGGCCAAAATGTTTTAGTATGGAGTACACATTGTGAACATGACAGTCATGTGGTAAAAGTTGAGCTCTCAAGGAAATTTATGGGAATAAAGTGAGAAAATGGGAATGCAATGACAGCTGACGTGGACTCCAGCCACCCTCAGCCATTTTGACCCTGAGACATTTAACATTCTAGCATCATAGTCATTGAGTCGTACAATGCGGAAATGAATGCTTTGAACCAACTAGTCCATGCTGACCATAATCCCAAACGAAACTAGCCTCACCTGCCTACTCTTGGCCCATATCCTTACAAACATTTCATATTCATGCACTTATTTAGATATCTGAAACGTTGCAATGACCTGCATCCACCACTTTGTCAGGAAATTAATTCCACACAAGAATCACTTCTTCAAAAAAAAATTGCCCCTCAAGTCTTGTAAATCTTTCTCCTCTTACCTTAAAAGTATGTCCCCTAGTCTTGAAATTATCACTTAAGAAATTACAACTCCTAAATAACTTGCATGGATTTCGATGATGGAATTAGACTTGCAGATTGGAAAAGTTCTCAAGCGGAATCCCTTCCTGTCCTGTTTATACTTGTTAGTAGCTGGTGATCTGTTGCCATGGTAATGTTACTTGTCTGTCTTGAACCATCCTCTCTCAACTCTTGTAGCTCCTCTCTAAAGTCCATAATCTAACTACGTTTTAGTTGACCCCTCTTTCTGTTGCCTTAAATTTTGGCTTCCAGAGATGAGCGTTTCCAGCTCTAGTTAAATGTCTTAAGTTCTGATGTATTTTTTTCTGGATGTCACTTTTTAAAAATAATCCTTTCTGCTTTTGCAATTTTCACCACAACTGTTGTCTTATAGTCTATGTCTGTAATTATGAGCATACTTGGAGTATCCATGTCTCAAAAGCCTCTGTTTTCTTCTACAGGTTTTTGCTTGCTGCCCAGATTTGAGGTAGACAGGAATGGAGAAATTTGCTAGTTTTTTTGTCCTTGTTAGAAGCTTGGGTTTTCTTTATATTCACCTCCTTCACCTTCACAAAATTACTTCTGGGTAACTCTATCTTCCTAACTTTCACATCACATCCACCATCTTTTATTATTTGTCCTGAACAAATCTCCACTTGTTCCAGTATTCACTTCAATCAGAACCAGCTTCGCGAATGTCATTTCATTTCATTCAATGGTTTTCATTTAGGGCAGCAGTCAGGAACGCGATTATATAAACGAGGGGAAACAAGTCAGCAGTCCTGCTTATTCAGATCAGAACAGGAAGAAGTAATATAATTCCTTTGTCTGTTCTGCCTGTTAACTAAGATCGTACTGATTCATGTGAACTGTGTTCGGCTTAATGCATGTCCTATAAAAGGTCTAATAGAAATCCATTGATCTCAATCTTGAACACTTGAGATCCAATGTAGACCTTCTCAGGAGGTGTGGGGAGTTCCGTTCTATTCAGTCTGGCATCTGAGCAGTTCTCAGAACTGAATGGCCCAGCTGTAACATTAAGACTTATTTCCCATCCTTCATTGCCCATGGCAGTTAATAGTCAACCACATTTCTGTAGGTCAGATCAAGTAAGGATGGTGGATTTCCCTCTCTGGAGGACATTAGAGAAACAGCTGAGTTTTAAGACAATCCCAGTTTGTCTCCCCCCGGCCCCAACCCTCATCTGCTTAACAGAGCTCATCCTTACCCTTAACAACTACTCCTTTAACCCCTCCCACTTTGTACAGACTAACGGGGTGGCCATGGGTCCAAGCTATGCCTGCCTCTTTGTAGTATACGTGGAACCGTCCTTGTTTTGCTGCTACACTGGCACTATCGCCCACCTCTTCCTCTGCTACGTCAATGACTGACTGTATCAGCGCTGCCTTGTGCTCCCACAAGGAACTTGAGCAGTTCATCAACTTGACTAACACCTTTCACACCAACCTCAAATTCACCTGGACTATCTCCAATAGCTCCCTCTCCTTCCTGGACCTCTGTCTCTGGTGACCACCTTGAAACTGACATCTGTTTCAAGCCCACCAACTCCCACAGCTACCTGGAACATCACTTCTCACCCACCTTCCTGCAAGAATGCGATCCCCTACTCCCAATTCCTCCGCCTCTACCACATCTGTCCCCAAGATGGGACATTCCACTCCCACACATCCCAGATGTTGTCCTCCTATTTCAAAGACCGTAACTCTTCTCCTCCCTGCCCACCCCCTTCCGTGATTGAAAATGCCCTCAAACGCATCTCGTGTTTCCCGCGCCCCCACCCCCACCTCCTTTCCGCCCCCCCCCCCCCACCCCAACAAAAACAGACAGAATCCCCCTTGTCCTCATATCACCCCACCAACCTCCTCATCCAATGTAGCATTTTCCACCACCTACAGTCCAACCTCACAACCAAAGAAATATTTCCCTCCCCACCCCTATCTGCCTTTCGTAGGAACCGCTGTCTGTGACTCCCTCATCCGCTCCACACTCCCCACCAACCCCTCACCTGGCATCCTTCCCTGCAACTGCAGGAAGTGCTACACCTGCCCCTACACCCGGCCCCCAACCTCCATTTAAGGCACAAAACAAACCTTCCACATTAGACGGGTTCACCTGCACATCTGTCAGTGGTCTCCTGCATCCGCTGCTCCCAATGTGGCCTCCTCTACGTTGGTGAGACCAAGCAGAGGCTCAGAGACCATTTTGTATAGCATCTGTGCTCTGTACATGACAGATGACGATACCTTCCAATTATGAACCATTTTAACTCTTTCCCCGCCCCCTGAGTGATATGTCCATGCTGGGCCGCCTCCAGTGCCACAATACTGCCACCCACAAACTGGAGGAGCAGCACCTCATATTCCGATTTGGGAGCCTACAGCCCAATGGCCTAAATGTGGATTTCACCAGTTTTAAAATCTCCCCACCCCCGGCCTTATCCCATAACCAACCCTGCCTCGTTGACCTGACACAACCTGTCCATCTGCTATCCCACCTATCTGCCCCATCCACCTCACTCACCAATCCCAACTACTCCCTACCTGCACTCACCTATCACCATCCCACCTACCTTCTCCAGCCCCACCCCTCCTCTCTATTTATTTCTGAGCTCCCTTCTCCTTCCCCACTTCTGAAGAAGGGTCCTGACCCAAAACGTCAGCTTCCCTGCTTCTCTGCTGCCTGGCCTGCTGTGTTCCTCCAGCTCCAAACTGTACTACCCCACAGTGGTTAGATGGCTGTTTTTAGGCCAGCTCTTTGTTCTCTATTGCTTCTAATTTCACCACTGACCATGATGGGATTCAAATCTATATATTTAGAATATTGGCCTAGGGTTCAAGCTTGCTAGTGTTGTGACACTAACTATACTTTATCTCCCCCATTTCCTCCATGATATTCCAATCCCATTGATGCAGCAACTAATATTCCTTGGCCGCACTGTTGTGCTGACCTTTTTTTCGATCAGCTGAGATGAAGAATGCTGCTTTGGGATTCTATGGAGCCCTGACGCAGCATGACTGGGTGCACTGAGAGGGGGCTCTTGGGCTGCATTTGAAAATTGTTGTTTGAGCTTGCCACGTTGACTTGTTTTTCAATTCCATTTTCCAGACAGCAGATAAACAATACGTTGAGGCATTTAATGATGAGCTCGGAGCATTCAAGGAGAGGGTTAAAGGTCGTGCTCAGGCAAGGATAGAGAAGGCGATGAAGGAATATGAAGAGGAGGAACGACAGAAGCGGTTGGGACCTGGTGGGCTTGATCCTGTGGAGGTGTACGAAAGCCTTCCTGATGTGAGTAGATGATTTTCTCATGTTGCCTCCACCTTGAAGAGTGAACTGCGGAGTTGTGCCAAAGATGCATTAGATAGTTCCTTCTTTCTCCTTTTGTTTCCTTCTTTGCTCCTTAAGGTGTTGACCCTCCCACCCCCACCACCTGACTGTTCTCCTCCCCATCCCAACCTGATATCTATGTAAGGTATACCGTATGAATCTGTTGCTTTAAGTAGATCTACCTTTCCAAATCCATCATGTTCAATTGCTAAAGTGAGCACTGTGAAGTTGGTCACCAATAAGAGGGGGTACTTAGTAAATCTTCCAGGCGATAAGAAAATCTCAGCAGAAGCAGTGTCTGGCTTTATCTTTTCTAAGCACTCTGGCAATTAAGAGATTTTTAATACAGAGTGAATGTCTCATGCCAGACAAGTTTCTCCTTCCCTTCTCCAAATTACAGGGCTTCAAGTGACCGATTTTGCAAAAACCCACTTTTCCTTCCCAAAAGGACATTTGAGAACAAATGACATCCTTACCTGGTCTTGCCTACATATGACTCCACACTGACTGCAGTGTGGCTTGCACTGGGCAATTAGGGATGGGCAATAAATGTTGGCCTAACCAGTGACATCCATATTCCATAAATGACTTAGAAATTCACATAATGATCTTTTAACCGAAGAGCCTCAAACTTTTAACATTAACTTGAACTCCACAGATTTCCACATTTTCTGTTTATATTTAAAATGTTTGAAATCGGCTTTTGACAATTCAGGGTAACTGAACTGCTGTACATCATGATCCTCCGGATTAGCCATGATTGAACGGTTTACCAAATTACTCCCCAATCACTAAATGATTAACACTTGGTTATAGGTGAGATTCTGCCTCTGTTTTTCTGCTTCTAAAATTTGTATAAGATTGCTTCTAATTTTGTTGATATTCTGTTTTTGCAGGAGATGAAGAATTGCTTTGATTCAAAAGATATTCAACTTTTGCAAGATGTAATTAGTAAAATGGACCCAACAGTGAGTATTTCCTGCAATTTGTGTATGAGTTTGCTTGCTGGTTAAACTGGAATCATCAGTTCTGTGCCTGTGCTATCTTTTCCTTTGAGACCTGCTTTCACTACCATTTTTCACAGCACCTGTTCTTGGATGTGAGAGTTTTGATGTCATGTTAGTGCCACTTGTTGACATCTCCCAGTAGTCGAATATCACGGCTAATACTAACAGCTAGGAATGTCTGCCTGTGAGAGGGGTGACTTGGAAGGGGGAAAACAACCTATGAAGGGTCTCACTGGGTTGTACAAGTTGGGCATGAATTCAACCCTTGCCCTTGTTGAATTTGTGATCTCAGCTCGGTTATGTTGACTGTTGTTTTAAAGCAGCACTCGAGCCCTGGAGGCAAAGTATTTGTATCTTTACGATCAGAGGCAAGAGGAGAGTTAAATGCAGCAGTTAAAAGATACAAGATTCCATGTAGGAGTTGTGAATTGGGGAGTGGGATTTGTAAGAATTACTGACTGTCCAGCACCCCTCAATGTAGTAAAAGCCAAAAGAACTGCAGATGCTGCCCACAATGTAATTTTCCTTTATAAGTCCTGGTGAAGGGTTCAGATCTTCGAGTACTGTTTGTCATTACTTTTTAATGAAGGGCGAGTTCAAATATACCAGAAACTAAAGGAACTCTATTTTCAGGAAGCGAAGTACCATATGCAACGCTGCATTGACTCTGGGCTCTGGATTCCAAATGCCAAGGCTGCAGAGGAGGAAGGAGAGAAGAGCAAGGAAGATGAGGATCCTGTGTATGAAGAAGTTAAAAAGGAAAGCAGTGAAGAAAAATAAACTTGTATTTTGTTTCTATATCTGCTAGTTTTAAGTGCTGTGTTGAGTTACAGACTGCATCCTGTTCACTGACCCATAGGGGTCCATGTAAGTTCAATATACCAATCTATTGAATGGAAGATTAAAGTCCTTTACGAATCAACTGCTTTTTGTATGAAAACACACACGGGTTTTGAGAGCATGCAGGCTGCTTTACTCCTGTGCAGCAACTGGATCAGCTGGCATCTGTGCAAGTGACACCTTCTCCATTGTCAGACTGAGAGCTTACTACTTCCCCCATTGCTTCCTTGAGTTAATGTGCATCATTCTCTATGGTGCTGAGCCATACAGCTGGGAAGGTGCCAAGTTACCCAACTGGGACACTGCAGTGATGTCCTGTTGAGCAGCTTCCTGATGGTCTTGGTCTCAGTTGAGGCCCGTGCACTGGTTTCATGGGAGAGGGACTGTTGAGAGTGAGTGAGCAACCACTGCCTCTGGAACTGGACCCTACACAATACTTGGGAAGAGAGAATCTGCAACATGGTTTGTTGAAAATTCTACAAAACGATGGGGTGAGACACATCTGTAGGACTGACTTAGTTCATATCTTTGTAAAATTGGAACAAGAATATAAAAATAAAAAGTAGAGACCCTAACCAAAATTATTGCTGATATTTCATGTGTCTTTTTAAATCTTGACTGGCAGTAACTTCATATTTGAGTATTCGTTTTGTGTGACTCTAGATCCAAGTGTTTTGCTCCTCCAATCTGAGCCCATTCCTTGGGGTGAGGGGAGGTGTATGCAGACTGCTGAGTTTTTCATGTTTTGGTTTTGGGTGAGGGATTTGCATCAATTTCAACATACGCTTTTATATTCAGTTCTTTTGAATTCTGAGCTGAAACCACAATAGTGTTCTCTACATTTTGAGTTTGACTTCTTCCATTTGTCTCAAATTTTAATGAATCCTGTGTGCGCAGATTACAGCTTGGAGACACTTGTTCTGTTGGGGCCAATGTTGCAGATACTGCCTGATAGTATGACCTATTTGGTCTGGACTGGTTGCTGCTTGTGAGCGACGTAGTAGTTGTAACATTCGTTTCTTGTTGTTGGCCGCCACATATGCAAATAAAATATGCAGTAAAAAGCTGTCTTGGTGTCATGGATATCAGATTGCTTTGTGAACACATTTAAATCTGGTGTAGTGATTTTTGTCATCTTTGATATCATTCTACTGTATTGGTAATGCTGCAGTTTTGAAGACCTCAAAATGGAAGCAGCAGCGACTTTTATTAGGTCTATTTGGCCTGTGTTTGATTGCAGACGTTTCGTCACCCTTCTAAGTAACATCGTCAGTGTGTCCCCAGTGAAGCGTTGGTGTTCTGTCGCACTTGTTATTTGTAAGCCTCAGTTTGCTGGGGTGGTTGGCATCACTTCCTGTTCTGTTTTTCAGTGGTTTATATTTCAAGCCCAGTTCAATTTGTTTGTTGATAGAGTTCCAGTTGAAATGCCAGGCCTCCAGGAATTCCCTGGCATGTCTCTGTTTGGCTTGTGCTATTATGGATGTGTTGTCCCAGTCGAATTTGTGTCTTCCTTTGTGCGTATTGAGACCACTGAGAAGTGGTTGTGTCTCTTGGTGGCTAGTTGGTGTTCATGTATCCTTATTGTCAGTTTTCTTGCACTTTGGCCTATGTAATGTTTCTCACAGTCCTTGCATGATATTTTGTATGTTTATGTTAGTTTTATAGACTGTGGGTATGGGATCCTTTCTGTTCGTCAGTAGCTGTCGCAGGGTGGTTGCTGATTTGTGGGCTACCTTGATACCTAAGGGTCTGAGAAGTCTTGTGGTCATCTCTGATATACGGTAGGGTGACTAGTGTGTCTGGCCGTGTTGTGTCTTGTTGTGGTCTGTCGTGGAGGTCTGGCATTCGAACTGGAACTCCATCAACAAACACATTTGAACTGGATCAGATATACAGACCACTGAATAACAAAACCGGAAGTAATGCCAATCACTCCAGCAAAGCGAGTTACATAAATAACAAGCGAGACAGAACACCAATGCTTCACCGGAAGTGTACTGACGATGTGGCCTGGCAGGGGGACAAAACACCTGCAATCAAACACACCGGCTCAGTGAGCAAGTCTACAACCTCATCCACAACTCTTCTCAAAATCTTTTACTCGTCTTTATTGCTGTTGCTTAGAAACACACTTCAGTCGGAGTAGGCCATTCAATAAACTGGTGGCTGATCTAATTGTAACTTCAAGTTTGCATTTTTTGCCCATCCGTACTTAATGAGAATCTGTTGACTTATGCCATAAAATTCTTCAAGGACTCCTTCAGTTTTTTTTTGGTTTAGGAATAGGGTTTGAAAAAGACTTTCAAGGGTGAGAGTGGTGGGGGAGTAGCTGCCTAATCTGTCTTAAATGGGCAAACCTTGATTTTTAAGTGATCTCTGGTTCTAGATTCTCGCACAAGAAGAAACACTCCAAAACCCCTCATCTAGTATGCTTCAGGCATTACAGCCCTTAAACTTTAAACTCCAGTAAAGTCTGTCAAGCTTTCCTCAAAAATAAACGTGCATTAAGCAGGTTTAATCTCAGAAACTTCTGAGCTGCCTGCAGTGAAGTTATGTTCTTTGATAAGGAAGGTGACCAATAACAGATAATACTGCAGATGCAATCTCCTCAGCGCCCTGTGTAAGTGCAGCATAACCTCTCTGTTTACATATTCAATTCCTCTTGCAATAAGTCAAAACGTTGCATTAGCTTTCCTAATTATTTTCTTGGTCCTGGAGATGGGCCTTCTACAATTCATGCAGTAGGGTGAACGTCCGAGCTCTGTCAATCTCCTACCATTTAGATATTTATGATTTGTTGACCTTTTTACCAGTTGAGTTTCACAGTTTTTGACATTGAAATCTATTTGCCGCCTCCTTGCCTTTTCATGTCCTCTTCACAACTTTGTTTTCTACTTTTCTTTGTGTCTGCCAATTTGTATTGACCTCCCTTCATCCCAGTCATTTAACATGTTGCTGAGGTTCCTGCTCCAACACCTGTGGCACACCACTGGTACATTTTGCTAATTTAAAAAATACCCATTTATGTCTACTATCTGCTTCCTGTTAGCCAGGCAGCCTTTTATCCATGCCAATATGGTACCCCTTTACACCATCAGCTTTTATTTTCCACTTATGTTTGATGGGCATCTGATCAAATTAACCTGACGTTGGTATCCTTGCTGTTGTTCAATTACACAATCTTCAAGCCTTTTAGCTGTTGCTATGAAATGTACATTCACTCTGCAGGTAACATCCAAGATTTCTGTGTCTCTGAGTGAGCAGGATGAACAGCTTGCAATGATTTAAGAATAATCGCATGTTGTCATGGACCAACAGAAGAATAAAAGAATCATAATTCCTGTAGTGACCCTTCTTTCCAAGCTGCTCTAGTTCCTAAGTCAACTTTGACAACTCCATTGCCCTGATCATTTCCAATTTGATGACCCCCTTCTGCATTGGCTCCTGGTTGAATATTACTCATTACTTGGGGTTTAATTGGTTGTTTCAACAAACTGCAAAGTGCTTTGTTGTATTAGCACAAGGCCTGTGTCAGCTAGTTTTGTGGACATTATTTCACTTATTTTCCGGAAACTAACCACACATGGATTGCATTCCTTCCCTACTTCCTTTTCCAAGCCTTGCTGTCTCTAAACATTTGACCACATTTCTATCTCTACCGCCCCACCTTAATGGATTATCATCAGCTCCCACATCTGATTATCTGATTGTCACTTCATCTTTCACCCACTCTTTTCCATTCCCTGCTGTGTCTAACCCTCCTGAATGTCATGTTGCTGTTTTTGTCATCTTAATAAGATGGGACTAATAATCAATCACTCTTCAGGATTTGAATAATACTGTGGGTTTGGAGATTTAAAGTAATCAATGATACGCAGCAGATGATAAAACAATAAACCATCTGTGTGTGCAGCTTGCAAACCCATTGCAGACTGACTCCTGGGCAGAGTTGCAGAGTCCTTAAGGTGAGTTCCCCAGGAGGAAAGGCACACATACACCAGTCTTCGTTGCAATCGCCTCCTTTCCATTGAATAATTCCTGTAATTTCATGCTGCAGTGGAAACTCTCCTCACTTCCTGTTCTGTTTTCCTTGTGCTTACTCCATTGATGAATTGCTGTTTATTTAAAATATCAACAAGGCTACCTGACCATTTATTTGTTTCCTCTAATAAATGTATTATCCTTACTGTGCCCAAACCAATGATGCTCATCATTTTCAAGATGTACACCCAATCTCAAGAACCTTGTATTTTGTCTGCTCTGTCTCATAGCTGTCACAAAACATATATGCAACGACACATCTGTTCAAATGTTCTCTTGTTTATAGCTACTGCTGACCATCTCCCAGTCTTACTGAGTTGCCCTAGAAAATTCACATTTTCTTTCTGAAAATTTGTCTACACCTAACAAATGATTTGCTATTTGCTTTAATTTCAGGCTTGACCATGTGGAACAGACTATGTCTTTGGTCAAACCTTTTTGCAAGATGTGCCTCCAGCAGCATTTCTGAATAATGATTCACTGCCTGAAGCTCAAGTTTCTCTACTATTTTTTTAAAAGATTAAGCCCATTCTTTATTGTGGGTTCTCTTTCTCAGTCAGTTGGTTTGTACCATAGATCTCTAGGGCTGTTTTGGCAAAACTCCCAAAACAAATCCTCTCACCTTTTCACTGCACTTTCCCACCTTCATTGTCTCGTCAGCATGGCTGCTGTTTGAGGTGCAGACCATAAAACAGTAATGTCTCTACCTCTGAGCCAGGAGGCCCAGGTCCAAGCACATCAACTGCAGAGTGTGTAATAACATTTCTGACAAGGTTGATTTGGAAATATATAAAACCATAAGACATAGGAACAGAAGTAGACCATTTAGCTATTAACGAGATTCTGGCTCTTGTGAAATTCCTCCTAGCTTTGTTTCACATGGGTGACCTCTTACTCTCAGATTATGTCACTCTGGTCCTAGTGTTTCGCACAAGGGGAAACAATCCACATCCACTCTGGCAAGACCCTGAAGAATTTTATATGTTTTAATAAGATCACCTCATTTTTTATAAACTCCAATGCGTACAAGCCCAATTTCTCCTTGTAAGAAAATCTCACTATATTTGGAATCAACCTTGTGAACCTTTCCAGACTGCTTCCAATGCTGATGTCTTTCCTGAGATAAGGAAATCAAAACTGTTTGCAGAATTCCAGCTGTAGTCTGACGAGTGCTTTGTATGGTTTTACTAAGACTTCCCTATTTTTATACTGAATTTCAGTTGAAATAAAAGCCAACAGTTAATTTGCCTTCCCTATTACCTGGTGAATACTCCCCACTTGCCTGGATGGGTGCAGCTTCAATAACACTCAAGGAACTTGACACCATCCAGGACAAAGCAGCCCGCTTGATTGGTACTACACCCACAAGCATCCACTCCATCACCACCGATGCTCAGTAGCAGCAGTGTGTACTATCTACAAGATGTACTGCAGAAGTTCACCAAAGATCCTCAGACAGCACCTTCCAAACCCACAACCGCTTCCATCTAGAAGGATAACGGCAGCAGATATATGGGAACACCACCCCCTGCAAGTTCCCCTCTAAGCCACTCACCATCCTGACTTGGAAATATATCGCCGTTCCTTCAGTGTCGCTGAGTCAAAATCCTGGAATTCCCTCCGTAATGACGTTGTGGGTCTACTGACAGCACATGGACTGCAGCAGTTCAAGAACGCAGCTCACTACCATCTTCTCAAGGGCAACTAGGGACGGGTAATAAATGCTGGCCCAGCCAGTGACACCCACATTCCAAGAATAAATCAAAACAACTTGGACACTAGTTTTTTCTCGTTCATGCACAAGGATCCCAAATCCCTTTGCGCTGCAGCTTTCTGCAGTCTCTCTCCATTTGAATTATATTCAGTTCTTCTATTCTTCATGCCAAAGTGCAGGAACCTCATATTTTCCATCTGCCAAGTTTTTTGCCCACTTGCTTTATCTGTCAATTTCTCTCTGTGTCAATATTCTTCTCCATGCCATTCTCACAACTTTCCTTCTCGTCTATTTTTGTGTCATCCACAAAC